AGCATGAGGGTGAGTAGATAATGAGTACATTTTTTTTTTTTGGTGAGTTATCCCTTTAAGAGGCAATGGTGTAAATCTCTATGATAGCACAACACACTGATAAACGGCCCTGCAGTTCCATAACTTGATATATAACGAGGCATAATGCCGATAGTGTGGTTTATGCTGGTGTGAAGAAGTCAGTAATGTCACAAGACTATGATGACCAGTATTATGGGTCCATAGGAGGAACTACCTGTATATCACAGAAGCAGCAGCACAAGGATGAACATATTGTGCTGAAGATATTACTCTGGAGACCTGGGTTTTTTTTAAGCAAATTCAACCAGAGAGAAGGTTCATATTGCTGCTGGAAAGGTCTCAAGACCAGGATAACATTGTTGAGACATAGAACTGTACAGGGACGTGCACAGACATTTTGAGGGGCAGGGGCTCAAGTGGAAAAAAATTGTGTTTTTTTTTCTAATCAAAAGTGTCGATATTGACAAAAATATATCTCAATATTTTCTGGGATTTTATCGATAACGATAATTTTTTGATTAGCATCACCAAACAGAAAAGCAAAAATAATTATTTCAGACATGTTTCTCGAACACTCCCCCATCTCCCCCTTTGTGGATCAAAAAGAAAGAAAGAAAGAAAGAAAGAAAGAAAGAAAAATTAATAATTTTATCGACATTTTATTGCTATATTACATGCTTGCCAAAAAGAAAATTAGCTCTCTTTTAATGCATATACAAACCATATACAAACAAGTACTTGTAACCAGTGACGTGCACAGACATTTTGAGGGGCAGGGGCTCAAGTGGAAAAAAATTGTGTTTTTTTTTCTAATCAAAAGTGTCGATATTGACAAAAATATATCTCAATATTTTCTGGGATTTTATCGATAACGATAATTAGATGATATTTTGCTGAGTGTGTTATTGTGCTGATATCTTAAGGACTGCCGTGGACAGCTGACTCCTACAGTTTTTGATATTCTTCATGTTCTGTGTGGTGATCAGTTCACAGCAGTGATATAAAAGAAAGAAAGAAAGAAAGAAAGAAAGAAAGAAAGAAAGAAAAATTAATAATTTTATCGACATTTTATTGCTATATTACATGCTTGCCAAAAAGAAAATTAGCTCTCTTTTTTTTCTCCATCATTTATAGTCTCCACAGGCTTTCTTTCCCTAACAACATTACTGAACACCTTTGAGAGTTGATTTCATTTTTGTTGCAATATCATTATTCATTGTTCCTTAATTTGGCTCCTATCCTGGTGTGTGTGTCAAGGAAAATGTTGTGAAAAGATACGGATCATCTTAACAAATGTTCAGTATTTAAACAAGATGAGTGGAAATTTTTAATAACCATGCTTACTAAACTAATTAGAGCTAATTAGTATCTTTACAGCATGTGGAATAACTATCAGATTATTGTTTCACATGGACACTTTCGGCAAAATCTGCCCTAAATATTTAGCTATTGTTATTATGAATAGTACTGAAGTACCAAAGATACCTTATTGACATGTTTGTCACGTGAAAGCAAACAGCAATTTGGGGTTACTTTTCTCTGGTATTACTTTTGTAGCTTATGAACAGATAATAAACATAGTTAATGAAGCGATGAGAATCAGTGTTTGCCAAGAGGATCAGTCTGACTTCAGGATGAAGGCTCAGGCACGTATTGGGCAGAAGAGATAAAATATGCACTACAATTTCAGTTTGATTACATTCAACAGGACACATAATTCATACTAACGAATGTTTGCCAGCCGTCACATTGAAAATGTGTTCTAAAATTTATAGAAACACTGTCTAGAGAACTGAGTACATTGTCTACTGCAGATCTTGCCTCATTACAGGAGCTCTCTTTGAGAAAACATGGTCACAAAACAGAAAAAGCTCTTAGCAGTTCTTTATACTTCATGTAGGTCGGTATAAATTATCTCCGAATTGAATTGGTGACAGAGTATGCTAATGAATTATTAGAACATCTATGGAACAGCAGAAATGAACACTAAAAGATACTGAGGATAGAAATCGGGTGGCTGTGGAGGCCATTGCTCTAATAGAAGCATGTATTTAATTTCAGTTATTCTTTTGGAAGGCTTTTATTGGTGCGGTAAGATTCACTAAAATCCACATTTGCATTTTAATATAGGCTAGTGTTCGTCTGAAAGACATGCTTCTTAATATTCTGTGTGGTCAGTTCAGCAGTGATAAAAATTTATTATTTCCAACTAGTTTTATGGGCATTTTTACCTTTAAGTTATTTTTTCTAAAAGTGTGCACCATCTTTTGAGTCAAATTCTTGCTTTTGGGTTGTTACCAAGCAAATTAAATTAGTATAAAAAAAAAGATCTTTGCAATGCAGAGGAAACACAGAGGCTGCATTAGAAGTGACACTTAGATGCATTTACACACTGTTTAATGCAGGACATGAATGTATTTAACCTGCAGTTACAAATGCATTCATATTGTTTTGATATTTTAAACATAACACGTTGAATATTTGAATAGTAAATAAAACAGAAAAAGCTCTTAGCAGTTCTTTATACTTCATGTAGGTCGGTATAAATTATCTCCGAATTGAATTGGTGACAGAGTATGCTAATGAATTATTAGAACATCTATGGAACAGCAGAAATGAACACTAAAAGATACTGAGGATAGAAATCGGGTGGCTGTGGAGGCCATTGCTCTAATAGAAGCATGTATTTAAATTTAAGTTATTCTTTTGGAAGGCTCTTTTTGATGCGGTAAGATTCACTAAAATCCACATTTGCATTTTAATATAGGCTAGTGTTCGTCTGAAAGACATGCTTGTGCAAAGAAGTCATTGTTGAATTAATGTAGCATTCTAATACAACATTTACAGTAATTTTAGCTTTGAAAATGTGTTCTAAAATTTATAGAAACACTGTCTAGAGAACTGAGTACATTGTCTACTGCAGATCTTGCCTCATTACAGGAGCTCTCTTTGAGAAAACATGGTCACAAAACAGAAAAAGCTCTTAGCAGTTCTTTATACTTCATGTAGGTCGGTATAAATTATCTCCGAATTGAATTGGTGACAGAGTATGCTAATGAATTATTAGAACATCTATGGAACAGCAGAAATGAACACTAAAAGATACTGAGGATAGAAATCGGGTGGCTGTGGAGGCCATTGCTCTAATAGAAGCATGTATTTAATTTCAGTTATTCTTTTGGAAGGCTCTTATTGATGCGGTAAGATTCACTAAAATCCACATTTGCATTTTAATATAGGCTAGTGTTCGTCTGAAAGACATGCTTGTGCAAAGAAGTCATTGTTGAATTAATGTAGCATTCTAATACAACATTTACAGTAATTTTAGCTTTGAGTGAATCTTAAATGTAGATACGTGCTACATAAATTACATTATTTTCAACATATGGATAGATTAAGGACTAAAACAGATATACAGTAGCTACATGAAACACTGTTCTTTCATACTAATATCCATTTTAGACAGTGCATACCTTAAATATCAGGAGATATTAACTCAGATATCTAATCAGCCAATCGCATTGCAGCAACTCAATGCATTTAGGCATGTAAACATGGTCAAGAGGTTGAAACCGAGCAACAGAATGGGGGGAAAAGGTGATTTAAGTGACTGTGAATGCACAACTACTTCTAGGGTTTACAGAGAATGGTCCAAAAAAGAGAAAATATCCAGTGAGTTCTATGGGAGAAAATGCCTTGTTGATGCCAGAGATCAGAGGAGAATGGCCAAACTTTGAGCTGATAGAAAGGTAACGGTAACTCAAATGACCATCATTTCAACTCATCGGAAATACGTGCCTCTACCTACATTTCTGCGAAACTCAAAAAACGTACCTATACACACACGAATCGCTGCGGTTTCCAGTTGAAATGAACACTAGAGGCAGTAAAACTCCCACAACTTTTATTCCTTTTCACACAAAGTTTGATTTGCATGTCCACAGTTTCGATCAATTTTTGTATAATTACTTGAGGGATATTACGTTATGAATTCAAAACGATTTTAAAATGCTGCGAGATTTGAAAACTGATACTTTTGGACAATGCCATCACATATACAGGTTCATATGCATGAGTTTTCATATGCAAGAACTCCGGTACGAACCCCGTGAAACTACGGTTCGACAAAACAGCGTTGCTTTAAATGCTAATGAGCTCTGCTGACTCCGCCCCTCTCTTCCGAGCCGCTCTCAGAGGGACTGTTTACTTTAGCCACATTCATCGTGAAACCTGCTAATTAGCACATTATTAGGAAAGGCGATTTGCAAAGATTCATAAAAGAACCTTATACTCACTTCTTCTGTAGATGAGGCTGGATCACGAATGATTCGCGCGAACATAGACGCATTTAGGCAGATCGGGGGCACATTCCCTTCACAGGGTGGTTGTGTACACACACTGCCAACACACATTTCAGTTCAAACAACTTGTAAAAGTGCATGTATGACCCCTTTAAAATAAAAAAGAAAGTTAAAATAGCACGGTTGCATCAACAAATCCATTTTTATACCAGTTTTGCATTTGTTAACACTATTGGGCAGGTTTAGGGTTGGATGTAGGGGATATTTTCAACACGATAGAGCGTTAATGTTTAGCAACACTCCTCGGATACTTGAATTATGAACATCCACAATATGTACCTGAAGCAATGTAATAAAAACACAGCAAAACGTGCCTATATCAACCAGGGTCACGTATTGAACTTGCGTTTTAGCAACGTGCAGTAAGGTACGTAATAACGATGTTGCAGAAATGTATTTAGAAGCACGTTTTTCCAATGAGCCTGGGTTGCATGTAAATGTGAACCCAAATCTCTGAGGAATGTTTCCGTTACCTTGTCGAAAATAGAAGTTAAGGCAGTTCTGAAGACAAAAGGGGCCCAACACTATTAAACACTATTTTGTTTTCTGGCAGATTGATTAAAACCTGACATATAGTTGTTTAACGCAAGCTCTTTTCTTATGCTTTGTCCACTGCAGGAGTGACCACTGTCCTTACCATGACCACCCTGAGCATCAGCGCGAGAAACTCTCTGCCCAAGGTGGCCTATGCCACAGCCATGGACTGGTTCATCGCCGTCTGCTACGCGTTTGTCTTCTCGGCTCTCATTGAGTTTGCCACAGTAAACTACTTCACCAAGAGGGGTTACGCCTGGGATGGGAAAAGTGTGGTGCCAGAAAAGGTAAAGCCATTTCAGTTTTCAAATAAAAGAGAAAAAAAAAATTTTTTTTAGTCATAGATCAATAAAAGATTTGTTCATAAAAATGAAAATTGTAAATTTTCTCACTCTCAAGTGTATTATTATTATTATTATTATTATTACTGGTGGGGGTGAAATGAAGGTGTTGCAGGTATTGAAGGCACTTATGTTGTGTTTTTGTGTGTGTGTGTGTGTGTTTGTGTGTTTGTGTGTGTGTGTGTGTGTGTGTGTTGTTGTTTTGTTATTATAATTCTATGTATTCTTGTATGTGGCAGCCCTTATGTCCAAGACAAATTTCCCTAGGGACAAATAAAGTAATCCTACCCTACTATTAGCATTTATAATATTATATTAGGAAACTTACTTGTCAACTTAATACAGTTTATTATAATAATAGGAAACTTTTGCATAATTATGACTTTGTATTTCATAATAATGATTAACTTTTTCATAATTACAATTAAATGTTGTGAAATTTAGAGACAATTATTATGAATTATATATTATTATGATCTAGCATCTCATCATAATGACTATGAATTGTAATGACTTACTATATAGTAATAATGAGAAACTTTAGCATAATTTTGACTCCGTATCTCATAAAAGGTTTCTCACAATTGTGAGTTAATGTAATTTTTTTTTTAAATCTAATTTAGTATCTTGTAAAAATCGGAAGTTTTCACATAATGATAACATTTCTCATAATGACGTAGTATCTCATAATGATTGATTTTTTCATAATAATGAGACATTTTCTTCTAATAATTACGCTAGTGACATCCACTGGTCAAAGCCGTATAACTGTATGAGAAGATCATGCACAGTAGTTGTTTTCATTCAAATATAATCTATAATACCATTATAGCATTAAAGATATTTTATCTGTATATAGTCTTTTATTCATTTGTAGCACATTTTATGACGCTCAATGACGCTGTAGTTAGGTATCAGCAAAGCCCGAATGATGACATCTTTCCGGTTGACCTCCTTTACAGCAAAAGAAGAAGAAGGAGTCATTTTTTTTAATCTAATTTAGTATCTTGTAAAAATCGGAAGTTTTCACATAATGATAACATTTCTCATAATGACGTAGTATCTCATAATGATTGATTTTTTCATAATAATGAGACATTTTCTTCTAATAATTACGCTAGCGACATCCACTGGTCAAAGCCGTATAACTGTATGAGAAGATCATGCACAGTAGTTGTATTCATTCAAATATAATCTATAATACCATTATAGCATTAAAGATATTTTATCTGTATATAGTCTTTTATTCATTTGTAGCACATTTTATGACGCTCAATGACGCTGTAGTTAGGTATCAGCAAAGCCCGAATGATGACATCTTTCCGGTTGACCTCCTTTACAGCAAAAGAAGAAGAAGGAGTCATTGCTGAAAAAGAACAACACCTACACGGCCGCGACGGCGACGACGTTTGCTCCGAACATTGCCAGAGACCCTGGTTTGGCAACTATTGCTAAAAGTGCCCCCCCTCCGCCAACCGAGCCCAAGGAAGAGCCAAAACCCAAACCCCCCGAGGCCAAGAAGACCTTCAACAGCGTGAGCAAGATCGACAGGATCGCCAGAATAGCCTTCCCGCTGCTCTTCGGAACCTTTAACTTGGTGTATTGGGCCACTTACTTGAATAAAAAACCCAAATTACAGGGCGCCCAGCAGCCACACTAATTCCATCTCCTCGGTTTTTCTCTCTTTTCTTTCTTATGTTTCTAAACAATAACAAAAAAGTGAAGCGAAACGATTTGTTTCAATGATAGTCCAGCTCCCACTTTCAAGTTTGTGTCGACATATGTAACATACTGTATCTTCCTATAATAACGAGAGCGACTGTATTATGTACAAACCACTGCACTGGAAGGGAACTCATACTATATATATATACAAACAGACACAGTATATCAGACCTGAGAGAATGCTATTCTGCAAATGCACATAGAATTATAGTTTAAAACTCCCTTCCTTAGAGAATAGTTAACCCCCCAAAAAAAAGATTCTTTCATTAAATACTCTCCCTCGTGTGTTCCAATCCTGTATGCTCTTGTTGAACACAAAAGGAGACACTTTGCTTTACTTTTGTTTTAGCGACCATGTCTGTCAACAACAACACGCAGCGTAAAAGTAAAAGCACTCCTTGCAAATCACGCACTTTATTCCAAGTCTTCTGATGAGTTCCTAGAAATATAGATGTCGTATGCTTTTTTTTATGGCGCTTTCATTGCCTTTTTTTGTTTGTTTGTTTGTTTTTGGACATATGTGCTGATTGTGTTAATGTACGTGTAAACATTCTGAAGAATCTTCTACTTTTGTCTTTCAGAAGAAAAAACAGCAGACAGGTTTAAAACAACATGAGGGTGAAATAAAAAAAAAACGGGGTGCACTGATCTTTTAAGATTCTTTTAACATAAAATATGTTTTTGCATTACATTAGCAGTTTTTGCATGGGTGCAACAGATTACCCAGTTAACAGCTTGATTTAAACAGCCATGTGCTCCTCTGTTTTCTCTCTTTAGCCTGTGTTCTGGATCTTCTGTTATTTAACCTTAGGATTACATTAACAGCAATAAAACATGTCTCAGTGGGAAAAAAAACAATCATTTACTCATGGATATAAAAAGTGTAGAGAAAAGATTAATGTGTATATCATAAAGCGTACTATTTATTTTGTTCTCATGTAAATATTATAAAGATGTCAATATTAATTTTGAGCTTTACTAAATGTAACTACAAGGTACAAACTCAGTGCTTGACAGAGAGAGCGAGTGCATTGTGTTTCGATTTGTGCAGATCATTGTTTATTTTATTTTTATTTATGTCTAGATTTTCTAGATCCACTAGACACTAGTTTTTATTTACCTTTTGATGATTATGCGTGTGCCGATATAAGTGAAAACTAGTATAAAGAGTTTTTAAAGAGGGACTAAAGTAGATGCTTAGAAAGAATGTAAACGTCTGTCTTGTTTTCGGAATGCAATTTTATATTTAGCATTAAAATACTCTTTATTTATTTTAGTAGATGCTTTTTGGCGAGCGCACATGGGATATAAAAATGATGGCACTAGGGTTATCACTTCTGTGCTGCGACTCGCTAGCAAGTGAACAAGTCAGATCGAATCAAGAGTAGTGCCTTGTATATATTTGCAAGTTAAGAGTGTACTTTCTTAGAAGGTGCTCTCCTTGTTTTTTTTTTAATTAGATGGGCAACCTTTCAAAAACATCACTGAAGAAAGTATCAGCCACACTGCCTTTTGTCTCACAGCCCATAGTGAACGTATATTCCATTACAGACATGTTTGTCACTGCTCGTTAATGAAAACTAAAAGAAGACATTTCTAGCGATGTATGTGAATACACTGTTCTACATATAAATATGTCTTGTAGTGCTATTACAATGCCAATTTTTTTTATGTTTGTGGCATGTCAGTTGCTCCTCTTGAAAAGAAACCAAACTTACAAAGAGTATCCTCTCTATTTTTGGACTGAGAGTAAAAAAAATAAGTTCTCTTAAATGAGGAACTTTGACATTATCATACTTTACTTTGATGTAGCAATATAGGTTAGCAAGGGCTTTTTTGTGACGGACGTGATAAAAGGCACACCATTCTGATCAATTCGAGTTGCTCTTCTTGGTATGTTTATGAATGCCTGAAATAAGAAGCTCTTATAAGTTGGCAGTACTCTTCTGTTTTGTCGATTTGTTACTTTGTGTTTAAAATGCACTTTTTTTTTCTTTTTCAAAATAACGAATACACAAAATTTTGAAACGGATGTTTTTGGGGTATGCCACTGGATCAGGAACTTTCTGTCGCATTATCTGGACTATGTGATGCAGATAAATGTCATGTTATCCCTCTTTATTTTACTCTTTGATCTTCACAAAGACCTTTTTGACAGTATCTAGAGTTTGCTGAGTTTGTGCCAGCTTGAGCAAAGACTGAAAGTTTACTCTGGGATATGTGTGAAACAGTATGCAAATGCACAGTCGTTGGAGCCAGACTTTTGTGAATGCGGTAAAATTATCAGTTCATTGATGCTATATATATATACTTTGGGTCAAATATGGACTAACCCAGCTGTTGGGTTAAATTTTTTAAATTAAATTTTTAACCCAAAAGTTGGGTTAGTCCATATTTGACCCAAAGTTTTTTTTAAAAACCCAGCATTTTTTAGAGTGTATATATATATATATATACACACACACACACACACACAAACACATTCCATTATGATACTTGTTCTAAAGATGCAACATTTTATTTGTACCAACCTCTTGTTCTGCATTTTGCACATTATAGGCATATTTAATATTTATGTAGTCAGCTTTGTGCTATGCAAGGATAGCTTTGAACCATATTAATTAGCTTCACACCCCTCCTCACTGTCGTTTCCAATATATTGTAAAAAGTCATTTACGAACTGTTCACCCTATTTAGCTGTTTATGACTGTTTGTCATTCTGAAAGCATGTAAAGACGGGTGGTTCAGATCTGGAATAATCCATTTTAAAGACAGGGTAATGTGGCAATAAAAAAAAGATAGATTGAAAAGAATCTTTCAGTATATTATTTAAACAACAAATAATAGATATATTTAGATTGTTTTGTTGCATCTAATAATGTTTTTTTTTGTTTGTTTTTTTTTGATGACCTGTGCTATGGATTAAGAACTTGTAATTTTACTTTATTTGTTTTATGGGAGATTATAGCATTTCATATGCATACCAGATTGTAAAAGTGGTTTAATTTTTGATTTTGCAATGTACTGAAGAAATCCAACACATACTGTAATTGGAAAACTGCATTTGTGCTTGGCAAAAGTTGAAGTAACAACTAACTCGAAGGATGAACATGTGCATAAACGGTCAGTAATGTGCACAAGTCCGGAGGCAAAGTATGATTTATTCTGTACTGTACACTGGGAAATCGTCTTTGTAAAGGTTTGCTTTCTTAAATGTTATGGCCCTGTAGAATTTGATTATCTTCATTAGTCAAACAATAAAAGAAAAAAGAAATCGATCCATTTTGGTCATTTTTGTTGCTTTAATTTGCTTGATGCATATTTTTGCCTTGTTTTCCAAGGGCATATCCCTTAGTAGGGAACGAGATTCATTAGACGCTGTGTCAGTAGCTAATGCATGGGAACACTACACCACAGCACCAGACTACTGGTAAATAGAGGAATATGAACTGGCACCTGTTCAAACAGGAGGAAACCAGGAGTCAAATCCATGTGCAGATTATAAAATCTGACAAAAGTGAATCAAATCAGACAACTGTCCTCCGAAGATGCACCCTTAACCTCCTGAGACCCTGTGACCTCATATGAGGACATTATATTTTGGTGTATTTCTCTGAGACTATACATGCCACAGTTTTAGGTCTGGATGTCCTGTAAAGTGAGCGATAGAAATTACATCCCTCACACAGTGCCACAACCTTTGTTTCACAGCAGCAACACGAGTCGATGAAAACTGACAGAAGGAAAATTGACTGGCCTTTGCTGCAGTATCATGGATGTTTTGCCCTCCAGGTCTCCGTGCCAGTCACTGAGAGATGCATGCAAACTTACTCTGATGTCATGCTGATGCCAAAAACCTTAGCAATGACGAGTCAGGTGCAGTTGGGATATGTGATTGTTGACATATTTATATAAACATATGAAGAGTTAATTTGCAAAAGAAAAGATACCATTTAACCATTTTCAAAAATCTAGTTTTTTCATTGTGCATTCCAATTAATCTCAATGAAACTGCATTTGGGTTATTTTGATTAGGTTAAAAATAACAAAAAAATGCAGCACAATAAAAACATGATAACAAAAAAACGTGATTTTTGAACATTTAAAAAACTTTTTTTTTTTTTTTGCAAATAAACTCTTCATATGTATTTCAGAAGAGTTCAGATGCAAAAGCCCCTAAGTGCTGTTTGAAATTTTCTTCTAAAATGAGCCTTTTTTATCAGGCTCCTATGTGTAGGTTCAGTAATTTCACTTTAATGGCAATGAATAGGTTCTTTTCGTTGCCATCAAAGTGAAATAACTGAACATAAACATAGGAGCCTGAGAAAAAAAAAGCTCATTTTAGAAGCATTTAGAGGCTTTTGCATCTGAACTCTTCAAATACAGAAATTAGTTAACTACTTTCAGGGTGAAATAATTGCTCAACTACATTTTACTACTGAACTGCAGACGGTGAAGCATAAACCATTGGTTCCGGCCAGCTGCCATGCATGGGTTCATGAGTTCATGGAGGTAAAGGTTGTCAGCATGATTTGCAGCATGATCAGTGCATTGTGAAACTCTGTCACGTCTCTGTTCGCTTAGCTGCTTGCTTTGTCTTGTTCACTTTGTGTAGTTTTTGAAGCGTCAACTTTGGAAGTCCTGTGCATTTGGATTATATGGACTCACAGAAATTGATTATTTTTTATATTTACATCACAATCAAAGGGGTCATGAAACGCATTTTCAGACCTTTATATTGTGTTTATGGAGGTTGGCTTATAAAATTAGCAGATTCTTGCAACAAATAATTTTCCATTTATTTAAAAAGGCATTAACTACTGCTGTGACTGACAAACTCCATCGCACTGCATCAATGCCCTTCTTTACAGCAATAAATTATAATAAATGTGATTTGGTTTGAGCATGTGTGACTTGATACGATATGAAATGTTTAAGCCTAAATCAGATTAAAAACGAACTAATGCAACTGCAACGATTGCCTGCAAAGATAAAATACGTAGCACTGCTGTAGCTTTCAATACAAGATACTTAGCAAGCATGTTGAAAATAATTGAAGGATTCTGTTGTGAAATCAAATGAGATGAACAAACATAAAAAAAAAATCTTGTTCATTTGCTCAGGTACGTCGTAAAAAAAACAAAACAACTTCTGAGTTTTTGCATTATGAGTTTTTGGGTGTGCACTTTAGCCCAATTTGTACGGTAATTGTTTCTCATGTGGACGTCTGTAAAAATACATTTACATA